CGTTCTGTCCTCGGCCTTTCTTTTGCTCCTGCTTCCTCTTCGCTTCCTGCCTTCTCAACATCTACATCTCCCGTTTCATATATGGATCCAGAAGCGCGCTCTCCAACTCCGGCGACTCAAATGGTGATGAAGATGTCGTGTTCAATTGGGATGGCGGTATTTGGTGTTCATCCTTTTTCGGATCTATGTCGAACCCTTTGGCCAACTTCGAGTTCTCTGGATTTCGGAAGCTGCTTACCAATCGACAACCTCAAATCCAGCTTAACCTCCTCCTATTTCGATTTCGATTCAAGTTTCAAGTCCTTTTTTTTTTTGTTTTCTCTGAAAATCTCTAGGATTTTTTGGGTTCATATTTTTTGAGGGAGAGAAAAAGGGGAAGGGGAAATAGATGGGATGGAAGCTAGAGAGGGGGCCACGTGCGGGAACAGAAGGAAACAAAACGGTGGGTTGATGGAGGGGTGGCTCGTCTAGGGGAATTTAGAATTTTGGGTTAGATGGAGGTGTAGAAGTAATGAGGGAAGGGGTGGCGATGGGGATGGGAGATGCGAGATGGGAGAACGGGACGGGCTCGAGTGGGAATGGAATTTTAGGTTTTTTATTTTTTATTTTACTTTTCTTTAATTAATTATTTTAATTTTTTATTAAGTGTTTAGCCATGTGGTAAAAATGTGACAGCACGGACCTCATATTTACCACGTTATTAACGGTTAACTTAACAGATCTTTTAACCGCGATATGAAATTGAATAAAAATAATACTATGAGGTTGTAATTGTACCGTGAAAACATGTCGTCGTATTGAATTGGAATTCAGAAAAGAAGCGACACTGTTTCTCCTTACATTGTCTATCCGTACATCGGCAATGGAAGTTCTTCCGAGAACGTCGGCGAGCTTCGTTTCTCTGCTTATCCTCTGCATCTCATTGGTAACCAATTTACTATCTCTGTGATTTTCTAGGGTTTTTTTTTCAATGGCGGATCGATTTCATAGCTTAGAAGTTAGATGTATGAAAATAATCCTCCAATTATTCATCTAAATGTATTTGGCCAAAGCGATAGCTCAGATTCTCTGCATTCTCTGATTGATTGATTAATGCTAATCTTAGTGATTAATGTTATAACGTTCAATCATTCACTTATTTGATCAATATCTGGTTATGCATCAGTAAATTTCAGATTCTGTATTAAATTCTGGTTTTGATGAATCAATTCGTTCAGCTTGCTTTGCACTGTGTCCTAGTTGGAGCAGATGTATCTGATGCTACAGTACGGTATGACCCGCTTTGTTCTTGGTTTTCGGAATTGATTCGTTTGGTTTATTCCAATTTGTTACTCTTATTGTTTTGATTATTGTTGCTGATTTTTTTTTTTCAGGCCAAGAGATATCACTAAATACCGATCGCTCTGTGATTGCGAGCAATGTGAAGACAGGCAAGGTTTGTATCCCGTCTTTCCACATATGCTAAAAATTTAGTAACTGTGCATTTGTGGTGATGCTAGTTTACTTGTACCAGCATGTAGGATTTCACCAAAAAAAGTACCAGCCTGTAGGAAGCAGACATGTTTAGTCGTTTGTGATTTGATATCGCTTTTATTTTTTTTCAGAGTTGTTTTTGTTTCACTTTCATGGCCTTGCATCCAATTGTACTTTTTTTTTTTTTTTGTTTATTTGTTAAGAGGGTTCTTAGTTCGGAAACATTAGAGGCCGTTTAGGAAAGGACAATGAAGTGAAACCTTAGTAGCAATTATAGTGTATGCATTTGATCTCAGAGTTAGTTATATAGATGATTAATATTTAGTTTATGGGAAAAGTTAGCCTTTGTCATTTTCCTGATGCTATAGAAAAATACATTACACTGAAGGGTATAAAGAATTGTATTTGATCTACAATCATTTAAGTTCCCTCACTAGTAGAGGTGGCATGTTAATGGGTTACCGTTAAGACCCATTTAATTTGATTTCACCATAATATGGTGGTGAGACTGGTAGTCGTGACAATGGTGTAGTACCTTATTCTGGTATAATCAAACTAAATGGGTTTACCCTTTAACAACCCAATGGTTTGAATTGCCAGAGAGATTGATCGCTGAAGTGATATGCATCTCCACTGACTGTCTGACACCCACAAATCCTGCATTCATATGTTTCATCTTTATCTTCAATTGAAGCGGTCATATTGCGAAATCTTAAATATATGCTGATTGAGCAGGGAGAGTGTGCATTGGTGATCGGAGCTAGTACTCTTCCAGATGAAAGGGTAATTGATGATGGTACTTTTTATTTATGTTTGTAGATGCCATTGGTGCTTATGTCTTTTATCCTATTCCGAACAGAATATTGACATAATTGCGACATACAGCGACAATCTTGGAGCTGTGCAAAGTCGTAGGGTTAAGATGGGGGACCTATCCGCTTCTTGGGTCTTGGAAAATCCTGTTGATGGGAGGCAGGAACATCCAAAGAGATTTGAGGTATTGGATATTCAGTTTCTTATCATAGCTGAAGGAAATGAAGGTCACATAGATTGAAATTTCACAACTTCTACATATCTATTTGTCATAGTCTCTTAGTTCAGCTGGATTGGAGTTGTCTTTTCTAGATAGAAACTTGGATCGGAAATTAACTTAGTTAATTCTTCTTTCCAGATGGCGGAGGATTCATCTCAATCTGGAATGACATTTGAAGAAAAGACTCAGCATCCTACTGATGATCATCAATCTGGTGAAGGTGAACTTCCATATTCTCGTCTATCGTCAATGAGCCCAGTGAAGCTCAAGCGTCGGGTGAATTGTCAAATGCTACTTGTTTTACTTCACCATGTTCATTTTGTTCAGTTGGGTTTGTAGTCTAAAGGTTTTCCTGGCCTGTTAGGTAATGCGGCAAGGAAGGAGGAATCTTCGGACTGCAGAGTTGATAGGAAAGGATATAGAAGCTAATAACCAGATGGCTGCAGCAGCAATTGAACGATCAAAAGACTTTGATCCCCTTGTCAAGGGAAAGTACAGCATATGGAGGAGTGATTATGAAAGCCCAAATTCTGATTCAACCTTGAAACTTATGCTGGACCAGATCATAATGGCCAAAGCTTACGCAAGCATTGCCAAGTCGAAGAATGAAACTAATCTTTTTAATTCTCTCATGAAACACTATAAACTTAGTCAGCATGCTATTGGAGAAGCAAGTTCAGACACTGAGCTTCATTTAAGGTTTTTCTATTCTTTATCTGCTTGCAAGCTTATCGATTTTATGCAGAGTTTTTATTTTGTTTAATTTTTCTTTTACCAGTGCACTTAACCGAGCCAAAGCAATGGGCCGTGTTCTCTCTGCAGCGAAAGACAAATTATATGACTGCCTCACTGTTGAAAGGAAGTTGAGAGTCATGCTTCAGTCAACTGAAGAGAATGTAAATGCTTTGAAGAAAAAGAGTGCATTCTTGATTCAGCTTGCTGCGAAAACAGTCCCTAAACCGTTACATTGCCTTCCTCTACAACTTGCATCTGACTATTTCTTGTTGGGTTATCATAATAGAGGGGATGCGAACAAAGAAAAGCTTGAGGATCCTTCTCTCTTCCACTATGCCATCTTTTCTGATAATGTTATAGCGACATCAGTGGTTGTTAATTCTACCGTGCTGCATGCGAAGGAACCCAATAAACATGTTTTCCATGTAGTCACCGATAAACTAAATTATGCTGCTATGAGAATGTGGTTTATTGTCAACCCTCCTGGAGGAGCAACAGTCCAGGTTGAAAACATTGATGATTTCAAGTGGCTGAATTCTTCTTCGTGTTCTGTTCTCCGTCAACTTGAATCTGCCAGACTTCAAGAATATTATTTCAAGGCAAATCATCCTTCTTCCCTCTCTAAGGGTTCTGACTCTCTCAAATATCGAAATCCAAAATATTTGTCCCTGCTGAATCATCTAAGATTCTACCTTCCTGATGTTTACCCGAAGCTGGACAAGATCCTGTTTCTGGATGATGATATTGTAGTTCAGAAGGATTTGACGGCTCTTTGGTCTGTTGATCTTCAAGGGAATGTAAATGGTGCAGTGGAGACCTGTAAAGAGAGCTTCCATCGGTATGATAAATATCTCAACTTCTCAAATCTATTAATCTCTGAAAACTTTGATTCCAATGCTTGTGGCTGGGCATTCGGCATGAATATCTTCGACTTGAAGGAGTGGAGGAAGCGAAACATCACTGGTATATATCATCGTTGGCAAGACATGGTAAAGTTTCATCACCTTTTCGGTTCTTCCCATTATTTCCCATTTTGTATTCTCAAGTTCTTAAGCTATTCCCAATTAAGAAACCGTAACTGATGGAAGAACTGTTCTGCAGAACGAGGATAGAACACTTTGGAAACTTGGAACATTGCCACCAGGACTTATAACTTTTTACAACCTGACCTATCCGCTGGATCGGGGTTGGCATGCGTTGGGACTCGGCTATGACCCGGCCCTCAACAAAACGGCGATAGAGAATGCAGCTGTGATCCATTACAATGGAAACTACAAGCCATGGTTGGATCTGGCTATTTCAAAGTACAAGGCGTACTGGTCAAAATATGTAATGTCTGATAACCCTTATCTTCGACTTTGTAAAATCAGTGAATAAAAACCTATACCCCCCCTCCCCTCACCCCACACACACACACTCGGCTCTCGTAATATCCGTCGGTCGGAAGAAGAAATGGAAATTCAAAATTCCTTATTTCTTTCAAAGACGACGTCATTTTAGTCTAGGAAGAGAACGAAAATGTTTCTGCAAACTGGAAAGCCTATTTTTTTTTTGGAGTTCCAATAACAGCTTTCGAAAGCTAATTCAAAATTGTGAGTATGAAAAATTTCCGAAACTTTCTCCTCTGTTGTTTGATAACATAAATGGTCATTTTGCACATTTTTTTTGTTGTTGATACAAATGAGATTGGGTGCAAGCACATGAAACGTTGTTGAGAAATTTTTTTAGTTTGATTGTCACAACCTCATATGCTGGTACTAATTCATCAATATTATAAAAGTCTATGAAATATCAATCATATTGTACCACCATGTGTCCACGACTATCACACCCGAAATTTTCACTGCATTGAAGAACCAACAAAAAGGACTGAATAAGAGTGGAGGACAACAGCACATACATACATTATGTGTGCATGTTGGAAATGCGCTTCCCCATGATACCAAACCTTTCCAATTGCAATGTGAGGCTCAAAGAGCTATCATCTAATGGAAAATGGCAAGAACTACTCTGCTACCACCATGAAATCCAAAAATCTGGACTTAAACTGACAGACCCTTCAGCCTTCCCTCCAATCCTCAAAGCATGCTCAACCCTCCGCTCCTCCGCCTTTGGAAGGGCTGTGCACGGAGGCTTGATCAAGACTGGATTCGAGTCCTACACTTCCGTGGCGAATTCCGCCATGGATTTTTACGTTAAAACAGGGGAATTGGGTTCTGCATTGTGTGTTTTTAATGGCATGAGGAGCAGAGATGGAGTTTCTTGGAATATTGTGGTTTGTGGGTGCCTTGATCAGGGTGATTTGGAACAAGGGTTGTGGTGGTTTAACAGTGCTAGGGTTTATGCTGATGGGTGTCAGTTTCAACCCAATAATTCTACTTTGGTGCTTGTAATCCAAGCGTGTCGCCACCTCCGGGATAAGTGTGAGGGGCTGATCGTACATGGTTATGTGATTCGAGGCGGGTTTTGCTTTGTATCTTCGGTTCAGAACTCTTTGTTGAGTCTGTATGCAAAGGAAGGTGACATGGACAGCGCGCAGAACGTGTTTGACGAAATGCGTGAGAGAGACGTTATCTCTTGGAGTGTGATGATTGGGGGCTTTGTGCGTTGTGAGGAAGCTCTAATTGGGATGCGGATGTTCCGAAGGATGGTAGCCGAGCTTGGCATTGAACCGGATGGTGTTACAATGGTCAGTGTTCTTAAGCATGCACTAATTTGAAGGACTTGACAATGGGACAGTCGATCCATGGGCTGGTAATCTGTAGAGGTTTAGATTGTGATATGTTCGTTGGAAACTCTTTGATTGATATGTATTCCAAGTGCAGTGATGCAGATTCTGCATTTAAAATTTTCAAGGCAATGCCGCGAAGGAATAAGGTCTCAGTGGAATTCTATTTTATCTGGATTTGTGTTTAACGAGAAGCATTTGGAGTCCCTGTCACTGTTTTTCTCTATGAGGAATGAAGGAATTGAGGTGGACGAAGTGACTCTTGTGAATGTTCTTCAAACATCCGAACATTTGGGCTTGATTCAATGCAAGTCGGTGCACTGCGTAACAATCAGGCAGGGATACGAATCAAATGAATTGCTCCTGAATTCTCTCATGGATGCTTATGCAAAGTGCAACGATGTTGAACTTGCATGGAAACTTTTTAGAGGGATGAAGAAAAGAGATGTGGTTTCGTGGAGCAACATGATTGGAGGGTTTGCTAGTTGTGGCAGACCTGATGAAGCAATTGCCGTATTCAACGAGATGATGAGGCTGCAGGGACAAGATCAGAAGCCCAATGAGATCACCATCATAAATCTTTTTGACGCTTGTTCAGCTTCAGCCGAATTGAAGAGGTCAAAATGGGCTCATGGAATTGCTATCAGAAGAGGTTTGGCAGCACAAGTAGCTGTCGGAACCGCAATTGTTGACATGTACTCAAAATGTGGGGCAATAGGAGAATCGAGAAAGGCTTTTGGACAAATTCTTGAAAAAAACGTCGTGTCATGGAGTGCCATGATAGCTGCGTATGGAATGAATGGTCTTGGCCATGAAGCAGTAGCTTTACTTGCAGAAATGAAGCTGTATGGTTTGAAACCAAATGCAGTGACCATTCTTTCTGTGCTATCTGCGTGTAGCCATGGAGGTTTAGTCGAAGAGGGCCTTTCCTTGTTCAATTTGATGGTTCAAGATCACGGCATTGAACAAAGACTGGAACATTACACTTGTGTAGTTGACATGCTGGCGCGAGCAGGAAAGCTTGTAATGGCAAAGGAATTTATTAAAAAAATCCCAGAAAGTTTGATGGCCGCCAGAACAAGTAATGCTTGGGGTGCATTATTGAGCGCTTGCAGAAGCTATAGGAACAGCAAAGTTGGTTTTGAAGCCGCCTCTCGTGTGCTTGAGCTGGAGCCTGAAAACTCAGCCGGGTACTTACTGGCGTCGAGCATTATGCAGCGAACGGGTTGTGGGTCGACGCTGCAAGTATGAGAAGGTTGGTGAAGGAAAGAAGGGTGAGGGTTGTGGCTGGTTACAGTGTAGTGAATGTTGGTAACAAGGCATGTAGATTTGTTGCTGGTAATGGTAATTCCCACTCCAAATCCGTTTCACTATCTCATGGAAATATGCACTCAATGCTTGAGCTGTTGCATGCCTGCATGTTCAAGACCGGAAACAGGAATATTGTTGATGATTTCGACTTAATTGAATAAAGTTCGTTAGTTCAGTTGCTTTGTGGTGATTGAGATTAAATATTGATGACGTAACAATCAATGTCAACAACCAAAGATACCAAAAGCCAATCATTGTCATTTAGTACTTCGGTCTAGTAATATTCTTTTTCACTTGTAAGTGAGAGGCTTAGATTCAATTTTTGTTAAAGGTGAATTTAAACCATATTATTGCTAGCCATTGTAAGACTAGGCTCACCCTCTCTCTCTTATTATTTATAATATCACTTGTTTTAAAAAAAAAAATTATTTTGGATGTGGCCCCTAACTATCAAGGTTCTTTGACTGAAATTTTTGTGGTTTTCAATTTTTGATTAAAGTCCCTGACATTAACGTAATAATATATTTTTATGTAGGTTATAGCATTTAAAATTAAAATGAAATTTGTAGTTATTTATATTTTATATTAATGAGATACATTCTTAAATCAACGAAATAGAATGTACCCATATAAGTTTAAAAAATGGATTACATAAAAGATTCAATGAATTTTATATAAAAATAGGTACATTTTATATTAAAAAGGGAACATTTTTCATATATCAAATTGGTATATTTAAGAAATGGGTACATTTAAGATTAGACAAAATTAAAAAATTATATGAATGGGTACATATAAGATTAAAACATTGAAATTAATTACAATGGGAAGCAAGGCTGTAAGGTGGAGTGAATCTGGAAAGATTGCCTCAATTCGTGCTGTTCTCTACAACTCAGGAACATTTTGATTTGTGTTTTATTTGTATAAGTATTTCACATTTACGATGAAATTTGTAACGAGATTTGCCTGCCATTCGAGTAAGGGGAACTCTTGTTTCGAGAACTTTTTTTTTATAAAAATTTAATGGGTACAAACTTATTCTAATTTCATTTTTTATATTTTGGAAATGTTTGAATTGAAAATTGATTAGGAGTTTAATAAGAGTGTTGCCTTGCATCACATCATGTGTTCAAACTTTGTCCTGCTCCCTAATCTAACATTTAATCTAAAAAATCTATCATTTGAAAAAAAACCAAAAAAGGGTGTGAGTATTAAAACTCTAAATTACGTACTAATTTTTATTTTAAAACATTATGTAACTGACATGTAATTTCTTAATATATTAATGCTAGAAACTTTGATCAAAATCTAAAAACTGATAAGGTCTTAATCAATGAACATTGGAAACTAGGGACCAGATACTTATTTTTCCAAAAAAAAAAAAAAAAAAAAACCGATCATTTTAGTAACTGAAATTCAAAAAATGATTTTTTTTTATTTTTTACCTGATTTTTCTTGTATAACTGTGGATAACCGTCTGAATGAAACGAATTTAGAAATGAAAATTCGGTTATATTTCGAATATAGGGAAAAACCAGAAATATTATTCGGTTATGGTTATAGGGTTCCTTATCATATTGAATCCAACCCGAATAATACATGTTATATATAATATAATTTGTATATAATAAATATAGTATTGTATAATATATACCGAACTCATTATTTTGAGAATTATAAAAGTTTCATTTTGTGGGAGAGATCAATGGTGCTTATTGAAGAGATCAAACATCAGCCAACGTCAATGTATCTATTATATTACAATGACAAAATTAGTATTTATTATATTATAATGTGTAACGAATATATTTTTCATATTCATACCGATTAGAAATCCGTTACCCGATAAAAATAGTTATTAAATAATCTTCGATGATTAATTTACAATTTTCGTGATTACGGAAAGAATATAACTTTTTCTTTCCCAACCCAAGGAGTTGCTACTACCCATTTCCATGTACCTAAATATCCTCCAATGTGTCGGTAACAAAGTTACCGTTCTGGTGCCGTTAAGAAACGACGTCAAATATTACAGTTTACTGCCAGCCCCGTTCAAAACGCAGCGTTGTGCGAACAAATAGTGTAAAATATTCGCGAAAGATATGATGACACATACACATTAATGTCTCGTGTCGCATCCTCATAATTTGCAGAAAAAAAAAGAATAAAAAAAAGAGGCGTTTAAACGGTTTCACACTCAGTCGCTCCGTTTGACTCTTTTGCCCAACAACTACCAAAACCCGACTGCGTCTTTGCTGCTACTCCATCGATCCATCTTTCACAAATCATGGAGTCGTTTCTGGGTTTTGCTGCTTTTTTCCTTCTCTTTCAGGTATGATTTTTTTTTTCAATTTTCTGCAATTTTTTTCTGTTTTGATTTTGGTCTTCTGGGCAAATTCTGATGGTTTGTAGTTGTAGAGATAATATTTAGAGAAGATTTATGGAATAATTATATGAGTGATGATTTTTGGAGAAAAAAAGTTCCACTCTTTCATGATGTTGTATGTTTCATCAGTTGTTCCAGTTGAGATATTTATTTATTTTTCTTCTCTGAACTGTTTGATGTAGGTTATCTTTTTCGCCTCTTTGATGAGTGCTGAGGAGACGGATTCACCGGCTCTTCATTTTCGGACATCGCATCATCGGGGTAAGGCTAATTTGCTCCGAGTGGACTTATGTTCTGTGAAGCTAGGGTTTTTACATGGATTTGTTTAGTGTCTTTTTATAACTGCATTGCTGATGATGGAGGAGTGGCCTATTTCCGCTCTTTACGATGCTGATGCCCTGTTTATAATTATTAGGAAAAGGAACTCTGAAGAATATTGTGCAATGTATGATATATGTGGTGAACGCAGCGACGGAAAAGTCCTGAATTGCCCTTATGGCTCCCCATCCGTGACGGTACTAGTTGCACTGTTATGAATATCTTTGCTTCTTTCGTTTTTTCCTTTCACCTTCAATGCTGCATTTTGATGGAATCTGTAATATGTTCTGCTTTCTAGCCTGATGAGCTATTTTCTGCCAAAATTCAAAGTTTGTGTCCAACAATAAGTGGGAATGTTTGTTGCACGGAGCTTCAGTTTGAAACATTACGCGCACAAGTTCAACAAGTAAGGCTTCTTTTAACACATATTTATACCGAATTCAGTTATTAAGGTCACTTCTATGATTCTATCACAGCTACTAGTTATGGCATGCAGCTAAATAGTAGCAGATGATTTTTCTTTTCGAGTTGATCTCTTTGTGTATCTGCCTTTCTAAGATACTTGTTGCAATGCCTTTTGCTATACCTCAACCTTAGTGTTTGTAATCTATTGCAGGCAATTCCGTTTCTTGTAGGCTGCCCAGCATGCTTGAGGAACTTCCTAAATCTTTTTTGTGAGCTTTCTTGCTCTCCAAATCAGAGTCAGTTTATCAACGTGACCTCTGTGTCCGAGGTCAGACTTGATGTTAATGTTGTTAAACTTGTTGAAAGTTCCTATTTAAAGCTTGTTTATGGTTTCTTTTTTGTTGCTATTTTGATTGGATTTTAGTTGGTACGACTTTTGTGCATGTATTTTTCATTTCAAAGTAAACCATAAGGATTGTTGGCATCAATACTGCTGCATGCTTCTTAAATGGCTTTATTGTTCTCCATTTCCACTCTCTTCTTCTGTTGGACAGTGTAGATTGAACTAAAGCTATCTGTCATTGATCTTCAGCTCTATGTTCAATTGTTCATCCTATACAACTCGATATGCAAACAAAGTGTTTCTCATGGTTGGCATAAGTTGTTGACCCTTGAATATTTAGTTCTATTACACAGTTTAGTAAAAAAAGGCCAACTTGATTTTAAAAGGGTTAACTTGATTGTTAAAATCAGTAAGTCTATCTAATAATCACAACGTTAGTGAAAGCTTCTCTCATACGTATTTTCAGTCTCATTGTTATACAATTGATGTTTTCCAGGTTAATGGAAATATGACTGTGGATGGCATTGACTTTTACATAGCTGACACTTTTGGAGAAGGGTTGTTCGACTCTTGCAAGGATGTTAAATTTGGGACTATGAACACACGGGCAATAGAATTTATTGGTGCCGGTGCTAAAAATTTTGAAGGTAACCTACTATAACAACTTTGGTGGGTTTAAAATTTGGAATACATACAGTCTATTGTTGGTCATTTTGTTTTGCAGTTAATGTCTTGTTTTTTATGTCGCATTAGTCAAGTTTGGCTGTATGTGACTTTTTGATGTTTCCTTTGTTTGAAACACAACACTTGTCCCTAATTCATAAAGTTTATTCATGTGGAAATATGGAAGTTAGTGGGGGGAGAGAAGCATAAGAATGTGGGAGAAAAAGTGGGTTTATCTGTAGTGACAAAAGTATCATTAGATTTTAGATGACTTCCTAAATTATCTGTTAAAGGCCTTCAGTAGAATATAATTGACTTTTCATATACAATGATTGACAAGGAGAATTTTCCTAAATTATCTGGCTTGTCCTTATTAGCCCTGAGGCAGATAGCTCCCGATGTGACTAGAATGTTTGTTCCCATTTTTCCTTGATTGTATTTCCAGTTCTAATGCATCAATTTCCATTTCAACAGAATGGTTCGATTTTATTGGTGCGAAAGCAGAGCCCGGTTTCCCTGGTTCACCTTATGCGATTGAGTTTAAGCTGGTTGTTCCTGAGTCATCTGGAATGGAGCTCATGAATGTGTCAGTTTATTCATGTGGTGACACTTCACTAGGCTGCTCTTGTGGTGACTGCCCTTCATCTCCAGTGTGTTCAAATCCTGAACCTCCTCAGCCAAAGAAAAAGCCATGCTCCATTAGAATTCTATCTATTGAGGTTGGATTTGATAAAATCGCTTTTTATTTAACTTTTTCTACTGTTTTCTTTTGAGATTTTTTCTTTTCTTTTCTTTTTTTGAGGGTTACAACTTCACGGCTGTGGCCGTTAGTTGAAGTCATAGAGCAGTAACTAATTTGTTGCTATATCTGTGTGTCAATTTAGCCTTACATTTAAATTACGTTACATCCGCCTATTGATGCTTCCAGGTAAAGTGCATTGAAGTTTCAGGTTGCCATATTGTATATTCTCTTAGTTTTTGCATTCTTTGGTTGGAGCTTTTTTGGTCGGATGAGACGAAGGAGGGGATCTGGATCTAGCGAGGAACCATTGTTGAATGTCATTCATGATGATGACATTGACTCTGTTAACTTGCACAAGATGAAAGTGTTGCCACAAAGGTAAATTTGGACATTTCTGGTGGCATATTTGATAACCTTGGGTACAAAAAAAAGTGTTCAGAGATCCATGATTTGTTACAGTTCAGGAGCTGTTTTGTATGTATGCCTCACTAACTGGGGCTTTATGGATATCGGAATGCATTAAAATGTTATTTTAGGTTGCTGAGAAACTGAGTAGTAATATCATTTTGTTGAATTTTTGCAATGTAAATTTTGGAAACTTATTCTCAATTCTTAACTTAATCTTCTGTTCAGTTTGCTGTAACGCTTTTAGAGTTTTTTAAAGTCATTGGCCTTTGTTAATTGTAATTTTTATATAATCATCAGAGGCATGCTATGGATCCTCAAGTTACCGAAGGGATCCACCTAGCTCCTGTTCAGGGATATATGTCAAACTTTTACAGGTCAGAACTCTACCATTGCTATAGCATATGGAGTCTATGCTGAATAATTTTTGTTTTCTATTTAGGAGTTATGGAAGCTGGGTCTCCAGAAATCCCAGTCTTGTGCTGTTTTCCTCGGTGGCAATTGTTGTTATTCTGTGTGTGGGTCTAGTTCGTTTCAAGGTGGAGACACGGCCAGAGAAGGTATCATGTTTCTCTCTTATTACTTATAGCATGTGAAAAGCCTTTGCTACTGTGATGCTGAAGCTCCAATATCCATGCTGAATCAAATTAATAACAGTGTTGTGTGGGACAGTTGCTTTAACTTTTCCATTATTTTGGTTCATGTTTCTGTTCATAGTTAATCCTTCATTCCTTGTTGTGGTATCCCTTCTTGAAGAATACCTGGTAGTAGATTTTACTAGGTTATAGCAGCACTAGCATCTTAGCCCTTTACTATTAGGATAACTAATAAGTCCCAGCTGTACTAGGTCTAATTAAAAATTCACATGACTGGACTATTAAAAATAGTAAGACTAGGTATCGTCCACCAAATAACTTAAACATAAAACCCTAAGCAAGACAAATAAATAGATAAGAACATAATTAAAGACCCATATTTTGTTGAAGATAATGAGAATAGATCTTTTCGTTTCAGTTGTCAATTTCTGTTATAAGCTTTGCTGTAATTGGTATTGGACCTGTTGGTCAAGTGTGCTTGTATAAAAAGAAAGTAACAATATTGGTCAAGGGTTGACATAGATACTTTCGCAGCTGTGGGTAGGTCCTGGGAGCAAGGCAGCGGAAGAGAAACAATACTTTGACAGCCATCTTGCCCCCTTCTACAGAATTGAGCAGGTCTTATTGTTTCACTTCTCCTTCATTAGCTGTGATATTTTCTTCCTTTTTCTACAGAAATTACAGTGGTAAATTGTCAAGTAGCACTCCATGATATTTTTAATATTATTACGACGTTAATGGATTACATGATGCAATTAAACAATTGCTTTTAAGTTGTTATATCTATTGTAGCCGAGTAATAAAGGTTTTCCATGGCTTGAAAGAAATTGGATGTCTAATCTTTTAACTTCAAGTCTTCAAGTGATCATCAATTATGTTCCTATGTTATGCAGTTTTCTGCTCTTTATCTCTCTGTAGCATATTTCACGGCGTTTCCATAAAAAGGTTATGGTTTTCTGGAAAAACTAACATGCTAATTGGTTTTGGTTTCTGTTTCAGCTCATAATAGCGACTCTGCCAGATCCAAAAGATGGCAAGTCACCAAGTATTGTCACAGATGATAATATTCAGCTACTTTTTGACATACAAAACAAGGTATTTTGACTATTATGTGCTACGATGTCTTTTTAGTTTGTATTTTTTCTCTTTTATTTTTTGGTACAAGTATTTAATTTAATTTATACATTCTCTGAGTTTCAACAGGTTGATGGAATTCGTGCTAATTATTCTGACTCGGTGGTAGCTCTAACTGATATTTGCTTGACGCCTATTGGCCAAGATTGTGCCACCCAAAGCATTTTGCAGGTGTTATAGCGTATAGTTTTGTTTCTACTCTTTCACATGTTCAGTTTGTATTTAAGACAACCAGCACTAAGGGAAGGTCTGCACTGGGAAAGACCAGAGGCTACACCTTGCTTATTGGGGCTGTTATTATGATTTTTAGAGATTAATGTTTAAATCCCCTAATGATGAAGTGAATTAGTGTAAAGTTCTCGACTTACTGCATTGCTGATAGTTTACTTCTTTTAACTTTCTTTTTTCTGACAGTATTTTAAGATGGACCCTGAAAACTTTGACAGCTATGGAGGGGTTGTACATGTAGAGTATTGCTTTCAGGTAAACTGCGGTAGCCACTTTGTTTTAATTTTTTAGACAGGGACAGTGAGGTTTTTATTTATTAACTTCTAGAAAAATGGCTTTGCAAGCACATCAAAAGCTTGTTCTTGTTGAATTAGTATTGAATACTCACTGATGCTCATCACCTTCATTTTCCCACCGGCAGCATTTTACTTCTGCGGACACATGTTTGAGCGCGTTTCAGGCTCCACTTGATCCAAGCACTGCCTTGGGAGGATTCTCAGGAAACAACCATTCAGAGGTAGGAAAGTGATCCTTTTCTCAGATATATGTGTATGTACTAATACTACGATGATCTTCAAATTTCAGGCTTCTGCATTCATTGTCACCTACCCAGTTAATAATGCAGCTGGTGATGTAGGAAATGAGAATGGGAAGGCATTGGCTTGGGAGAAGGCTTTTATTCAGCTAGCGAAGGTTTCAACACTACAGATCCATCCTTTGATTGTTTTTGTAGTGGCATGTGATGCTTGTCTCATGGAATTTCAGACTCTGTATAAAGCTCAAGATAAATTGCATCTATATAATAGCTGCATCTTTGTAAATGGTTATCCTAAATTGCACGTCCGGTGAAATTTTATCAAGAGGAGTAGGTCTTCTGAAGGCTATATATATATATAGATATTTATATTGCTTGTTTTGTGTTTCTGTTCTTATATTTGCTATTGAATTTCAAATGTGCCCCTATCCATTAGAAGGAAAAAGCCCTTGAGCTAGTCCATAGATGATTTTGCATATTGAGATCTGATGTTATGTTGACAGGAGGAACTGATGCCAATGGTTCTGTCTCGGAATCTTACTCTCTCATTCTCAGCCGAAAACTCAATTGAGGAAGAGTTAAAAAGAGAAAGTACTGCAGATGTGATAACCATATTAGTAAGTCTGAGACCTGGATATCTTCATGTTGCTCAGATCAATCTGCAGCAGATCAAGTGCATCATGCCATCTTACATTAATAAACAAAATAAATATAATATTTATACTTGTTGCCAAACATTTGACTTAAATAAGTGACTGTTTTATAAGTATTCTTCTTTTGCTACATTATATCAGGTAAGCTATCTGGTAATGTTTGTTTACATATCTCTAGCCTTGGGAGATGCACCTCATTTGTCTTCTTTTTACCTCTCGTCCAAGGTACGTTTAAACCTTTGTTTAAGGCTTTAAGTAGTCTGCAAATCCTTATGACCATTGATTTGCAGCATGCATATTTTTATGTTGTGTGCACTAATGTGTCCTTTACTGCTTGCTTTTATAGTTAAGCTACTTTGACTATTACTTTATACTTTAATTCTGGCTGCCACCATTTTAATCATCTGTAACTATGGCTCCCCCCCAATGCTTTTATCTGGATGTGCTAATTCTGCGTGGTTGATCTGACAAGTGCTGATATGGCATCAACAATTCTCACTGTTGCACAGTTTGTTTTCTGTAAAAGTAAAATAAAATTGTCTCTATTAGATTTTTTCTTGGCATCAAGTCATAGCAAGGGTGTAGAGAACTAGTACTCAAGACACTGAGATTAACTTGTGAAGGCTTTTGTGAGAGCAAGTTGGAGGATTTTGGGGTGTTTTACTGTTGGTTCACATATCGTGTCAGCAACCACTAGATAATAATTGAAGAAGTGTCACAAGAACATGTATTTACCATGTTACTTCTTATCTATGTGGCATACATAGATACCAATTTGGAATTGATGAAGTTTTCAGACATGCGATTAATTTTTGGTTCAATGATTTGTAGGTCCTGCTTGGCTTGTCAGGAGTCATACTTGTCATGCTTTCTGTCCTTGGGTCTGTTGGATTTTTCAGTGCTGTTGGAGTTAAATCTACATTAATCATAATGGAAGTCATTCCGTTCCTTGTTCTTGCTGTAAGTTTTTTTTTACCCAACTACTATGGGTGCAGTTTTTAGTTACTAAAATTTCCTGTTATGGTAGGTCTGCTGTAGTCAACACTCTAATGTCACCATGTGACATGCCTAAGAAGCTTTGTTTCCATTGTTATTAGCTAAGAGAATGGTAATTATTTACCAAATTGCCAGTGAGAGACCCTGATGCAAACTCACTCTAATTGGAGAGATAATTGGGAAGTAATGTACATGTGTGTAGTAATACAATGTTAGAAGTACAACTCATCAATAAATTAATCAAAACACATCGATTACCTTTTTTGCAACCCTAGAATATCTATAGAATGTCGTATATCCCTCCTTGTAGCTTCCACCACTTTAGATTAGCGAATTTGGAGTGAACTATTCACCAGAGGAACTGAAAGGAAGTGAAAAACATAGAAACATGTCTTTTGGTGTTGAACATTTGCACCTCTAATTTAGGTTTTCTAATTTCCTGATGGTTTGAGAGAACTTTTTTCGTGATTCTCTTTGTACGTGATCATTTTTATTTCATTTTGCTTTTTCAGAGCTTTCCTTTGTTGCCCTAATTTTAGATTTTATCCAGTCTTTGTTGTTCACAATACTTAATAGGTGCCAACCCTCCCCTTGCTCATATTCAAACACATCCTTCTCTTTCAAAAGGGGAAGAGATATTTTATTGATATATTTCTGATCTTTTGTTGAGTTTTTGTGAATTTTTGCAAATTTTTGCCTCCTCCCTTGGCATTACCTATCTTATGTGTTTTCTTTGTATGGAATGATATTTCAAATGGTATTCCCTTCTGGTTCCTGTAATCAGGTTGGTGTAGATAACATGTGTATACTGGTACATGCGGTGAAACGGCAACCACTGGACTTACCTTTAGAAATACGAATAAGTAATGCACTTGCTGAAGTTGGCCCATCCATAACGCTGGCTAGTTTATCTGAGATTCTGGCATTTGCAGTTGGAAGTTTCATTCCTATGCCAGCTTGTCGTGTCTTCTCCATGTTTGCTGGTAAAGTTATTCTCCTCTTATCCTAATTCAATTACATTGGAATCGTGGTTTCACTAGTGCATTGATTGTATATTTACTATTTCTTTTGTAGCTCTTGCTGTTCTACTGGACTTCTTCCTGCAAGTTACTGCATTTGTTGCGCTGATATATTTTGACTTTTTGAGAGCTGAGGACAACAGGGTTGATTGTTTTCCATGCATACAAGTCGCTCCATCTTCTGAGGGAACTAGTGAAGGTATACAAGTCTCTCCATAGCTCTTTCTTTCTAGGGGCACTTTTGTTTCAGTGTTTGATTTTTGTTTATATTTTGTTGTCTCTTTCAGTTGTGTAATTTTATTGTCTTATGGAAATGAAATTAATTATAATACAGGTGGGCTGACCTAGTGTCTTGAGTTGAGGTTTCTTTGCGTTTCTAGTAGTATAGCGTTGATTTGAAGTTTTTTCTATTTTAATCATGTAGGAATATATCATAGAAGAGCTGGATTGCTGACCCGCTATATGAAGGTAACTTTTGTTTCTTTTTTGTTCTTTGTTTCTGCCTTTTCTTATGGGGATGTTGGGCTACTAGACATCTTCATCTTTAGGAATCTATCAGAGCCCAGGGTTTTTATTGTGTATTACATGAAAAATAAAAATCACTATTTTGTTCTATTTCTTGGACAGAAGTAAACTAAGTGATCAGATATCTTCTCCTTCGTTTAATTCAAAAGTAAAAATAAGTTTGGTCATGGCTTTATTGTAGGAAGTACATGCACGCATTCTTGGATATTGGGTGATTAAAATGGTTGTTGTTGCTGTCTTTCTTGCTTTCACCTTGGCAAGCATTGTAAGTTGCTTATGATCTTTTTACACATGATTTTATGTTTCTTTTTATTTTATCTTTTGAGTATCTAACAGAAACCTTTTACATGATTTTGATCCTTACAGACATTATGTACTAGTATTGAACCTGGTTTGGAACAGAAGATTGCCCTTCCCCGGGATTCTTACCTTCAGGTGCCCCATAGTTTTGTGGAATCTTCTTTCCCTAAAGTTCTGACCTGTTCTTTTTTATCATTTGAATATTTTGTGTATCAGGGGTACTTCAATAACATTTCAGAGCATCTTAGGATTGGACCACCGTTATATTTTGTTGTCAAGGATTACAACTACAGGTATCTCTGTGATCTCTCTTCTACTTCAATGTTCAGGTTCTGTGCTCTTGGTTTTTATTTCCAAGCTTGAAGATTATTGCATGCAGTGCTTGAAGATAGCATGCAGTGGTTGAAATAAGATATAAAAAAAGAAATAGAATAATGCTGTTATGAAGGGAAAATTGTGGATGTTTAATAGTCTGCATCAGATGAAATATGAATTTTTTTTGTGGATGCCTTTGTTTAGAAGTAGAGTACATTTTACGCTCCATTAGGTAAGTACCTCATTGATGGCTTTAATCCATTTTTAATGTCCATTGTCTATTATAGACTGATCACATGTATAAGATGAGGGGACATTGCTATATTATTGGAGTTGTGGGTTGTCACATAAGATCTATTGTTACCTTTTGTAAAATTTTTAAAATTTTTTGGGTTAGTAATGATGGGGCTGATTTCGCTGCCTCTTATACGGTGATGATGGAGCCATTGCAAACAATCGTTTGCTAACTTGAGATAGATACTGAGATGAACTTATCATGATGCCCACTATTATTTGTCTTTTTATGGCTGCTGTATATCAATATGTCTCTCTAGTATAGTCCCCTGTTCCATGTCAAAGTGTTTGCTTCACCATAATCTAAAGTAATAACTAATAAGAAATTACTTTCAGAACAATGATTAACAGTTGAGTGTTGTCTGGTTGTCTCAGCTCGGAATCAAGACATACAAACCAGTTATGCTCCATCAGTAAATGTGATTCCAACTCCCTTTTAAATGAGGTACATGTACAACAATGGTTGAGTAGTATTTCTCAAAAAGTAAAAGTGGGTTTTGCTGGATGCATCCAACAAAAGCTACTTCTAATGCATGTTTCTCTCTACTATTGAATTGTCCTGTTTTAGAATCACAATGTAATTTTTGGTTGCTGCATTCTTCTGATTATTTATTCCTTGTGTTTATTGCTTTATTTTCTATTTGACCATCCTGTCATTTTATGTCTTTGTGTTGGTGCTCTGAACTGTGACAACTGTGAAGCGTTTTCTCCGTGTGTATGCACACTTTATTTTCCTTTCTTTAATTTCTTCTTCTGTAACGCTGCAGATATCCAGAGCATCTTCAACACCGGAATCAAGCTACATTGCTAAGCCAGCTGCCTCTTGGCTTGATGATTTTCTTGTATGGATTTCACCTGAGGCTTTTGGTTGCTGTCGGAAGTATTTAAATGGTTCTTATTGTCCCCCTGATGATCAGGTTGGTGCTCATTTTACATGCCTTACTTGAAAAGGAATCTGTTGTTTTCGTTTCTGGGACTTGAGTGCTCCTTCCTACTATCATTCATTTAGATATTTTTTTTCTTTACATTTAAAAGACATAGATATGTTGATAATGTCTCCAATCTGTATCTTTCGATCTTTCTTTCATTTATTTTAGGCAACAGTTTTACTTTTGTGACTCGGTTAGGTTTGCTAATTTGTTGTTCATTTGTAAGATAGCTGTGATGATTGCATTATTGCACAATTAGTGATATATTTGGTGCATTCATTGACCAGTAAACTGTAAGGATTCAACTTTGGTGGTGTTCTCGTCCCATTTATTTCTGTTTATTTAAGAATGATATACTGAAGCAGATGCATTTGTCTCCAGCCACCTTGTTGTTCACCTGATGAAGGTCCTTGTGGCCTTGGTGGAGTTTGCAAAGATTGTACAACAGTAAGGCTCTTCTTACCTATACAGTTGAGATTAACCTTAGAAACGACCAGGGTCAAGAATTAATGTTTTAAATTTTTTCCAGTGCTTTCGGCACTCAGATTTGGTCAATGATCGTCCATCTACAGCACAGTTTAGAGAGAAGCTTCCATGGTTCCTAAATGCACTGCCTTCTGCTGATTGTGCAAAAGGGGGCCATGGTGCTTACACTAATAGTGTGGATCTAAAAGGTGTGAAAGATCAGCTCTCTCTCTCAAGTTCTGTGATTATAACCTTCCATGAAGCCAAAATATTTTAATTGAATCTGTAGTCAGTCTAATTTCAGGAACATTTGTGCTCCCTTTTTCAGGTTATGGGAGTGGTGTTATAAGTGCATCTGAGTTCCGTACCTATCACACACCACTTAACGCACAAGTATGGTTGTATCTTGAGTAAACTGAGTCTAGAATTATACTTTTATGATTTCGGCATAGCTTGTATTGGACACCCTTCTGTTGTTTGATCTTTCATTGTTTTCAGGGTGATTATGTCAATTCAATACGAGCTGCGCGGGAGTTCAGCTCAAGAATGTCTGATTCTTTAAAGGTATAACCAAGCAGCATAGTTCCATGAATAAGCTTTGGAAATTTTTCTTCACATATTTGGAATAAGATGCTATGCTTTCCACTTTTTCAATTTGCTTTATGTATATATTCATTTCGGGATTAGTGGTGTTTTGTTCCTAATGCCTGAACGTTTAACTTGATATGGTGAAACTGCAGGAATATTAAATTCATGAAACACATATCGTCCTAGTGGAACTGAAATTAAAAGCCACTTCTGTATGCCAGAATGTGATAATGTTGGATGTCTAAAGAGTTCTCATTTCTCAAAACCCTAACATGTAGAAGTTATGCCCAGAGGTCCATCTATTATTTGATTACCACATCAAGAACACAACTTTCTATGCAGGAAATGACATCACATGTTTATCAATTGGGTATTTAATATTCTAAGTAATGTTGTTAGTTTCTTTTTGGGATAAAATAATGCTGAAAGTTTTTCATTAAAGTTTCATTAATTGAAACCTTCTTGATGAGAGTGGTAGTGTCAACTTCTTGTTGATTGTGTTTTGAGTCTTCTGGCTTAAGTATTACTTAGGAAGCATAACTGAACCTAATGATTTATATCCCACTGGCATTTCCTACTTAAACAATGTTGATTGCGTTCTCAAATGCCTTGAACTTGAAAATAGTGGAGAGGAGAAAAACTGACAATTCTTGTCCTTTCAACTTCTCTTTTTCTGCATCTTCAACATTTCTCTGCCCACATTACTTTCTCAAGTGGATGTGGATCTCTGTTAAGTTTACGGTGTTTATTTTCTGCAGATGGATATCTTTCCGTACTCGGTGTTCTATATCTTCTTTGAGCAATATCTGGATATATGGAGGGTAGCTTTGATCAACATTGCTATTGCACTCGGTTAGTGTTTCTAACTGTATTACTATACGGTTATGCACGATGTATTCTTTGTCTTTCTACAATATGTGTTTGCACGTCCCTTAGTTTTCTAAGTTGCTATTAACCCTGACTATCATTGCATGTGTGCTCTTCATAATATATTTCTGCTGATAGAGATTACATATTCTAGTCCCTGAAAGAAATCTTTAATAGTACTGCGGAATCTGTATCTGTCCACTACATATGAGTTTTTAGGATGACTGAAGAACTGCTATTTAGTTGTGCTTTACTCTGCAGAGATTTCATTATCATTCGATCTGGATCTGCAATTTAAAAGTTTATTTTCCCCTAAAGCAGTTACCAAAATATTATCTCGTATGATGACATAACATAACATAACAGGTGCAATCTTCATCGTTTGTCTGCTCATGACATCCAGGTTTGTCTTCTTTCTTGAGGCCAGAAAGCTGTGTTTCTCCATCACTTTAACTTGCAATTATCATTTTTCTTTTTCATCTGTTTGATTACAGTGTATGGAGCTCTGCTATCATTTTACTTGTACTGGCAATGATTGTTGTGGACCTCATGGTATGTTTACCTGTCATTAGTAATGCTTTTAATTTTGCAACTATATTTTCCCGATTATGCGCCCTTGTATTTATTTGCCCTTCATGTCAGCTTTACTTTTCATTCCTTTAACTTCTGCCCATATTAGAACTGACAAACTTCACTGAACTTTCAGGGTGTAATGGCCATTTTCAATATCCAACTAAACGCAGTCTCTGTTGTAAATCTTATAATGTCAATCGGAATTGCTGTTGAGTTCTGTGTCCATATAATGCATGCTTACTTGGTTAGTTTGTCTCTCTCTCTGTCTCTCTCTCACATGATCACATTACACACCATAAACAGCGTAATTAACTTTTACTAATTCTATTGGCTTCCATTGAGATCTCTCCTCAATGGACAACCGCCTTTGATTGGGTTACATATTGCTACTATATTACCAATCTTGCATACCTGTACAGGTGAGTCATGGCAACAGGAGCCAACGAGCAACGAAAGCTCTAAGTAGAGTGGGACCTTCTGTGTTCAGGTAAACTGTAATGTTCTCTTGTTAAGCATTTAGGGTTGGTGACATCTGTGGCACTCAGTGGATTTCCATGATTGAGCTGAAATCTTCTTGCAATGAGAATTGTCTTAGACTCACTGGGACAAATATGATAAGTTATTAAATGGCCTTGCTCACTTCAGGAACTTTGTTCGCCATCAGGCCCATCACTTTCTACAGATCTCAATTTCATACTGCTTTATATATATATCAGCGTTCTAAGTTTGTTACTATGGTGTCTAATTTATAATCTACACAGGGCAGTGCTTTTGTCCACAAATATGACAACGTATATACCTTGTAGAGTTTTGATTGTTTGCATTTTTTATGGCAGTGGGATTACACTTACAAAGCTGGTTGGAGTAATTGTCCTAGCCTTCTCAAGATCAGAAATTTTTGTGGTGTTTGATCTCTCCCTCTCAGCTTTTTAAATTCTTCTCGCAATGCTGGATGTCTAAGTAGCTTTATGAATTTTGCAGGTTTACTATTTTCGAATGTACCTGGCATTGGTTCTTATTGGTTTCTTGCATGGGCTCGTCTTTTTGCCGGTAAGTTTGTTGGAGTTCCTTCTCGGCACTGTTTCCACTCTGATCCCCTTATAAGATGGCTCTGCTGGCGATATTTTGCACCACTGAAACACTTTCTTTGTTGGTTGAACTCCTGCAAGTCCCTTCAACAGATTTGTTATTCATCACGGAAACACATTTTTCGCTGATAAAACTGATTGAACGAATAAGTACATGAGCTTGCTTTTTGTGGTTTTGCAGGTGGTATTGAGCCTGTTTGGTCCGCCGAATAGGCACGCAAGTATTGATATGCAAGAAGTTGAATCTTCACCGGTCTTGAGTTGAAATACTAGTGGAAGTATGGCTCTCCTTTTCCGGGCCGAGATTCTACTTTTGTTGTCAAACTATATGTGCTCGTACTTGCACAATGCTCCCGGCTTCTCCCATTTGCTGGTGGGAATGTAGTAAAAAGTGACCCTTCAAAGATAACAGTTATGTTGTAATGATACATGTGACAGATTACGTAGAAGGTATAAAAACCACAAAATCTTGTTAAGAAATCGTACACCTTCTGTGATCTTCTATAATTTTCATAATCAGAAATATACGGGTAGAGAAAAACTTGCCAATATGCAACTTGTATGGTGCATGTAAGTTTTTCTCGTGTGGGTGTGTGTGTCATTGGCGATGCCATTATCGACGTTGTATTGTTGGCCCTCAAACTAGCTAAGTTCCTGCACCATGTCGGCAGGGCCCAAGTGAGACAGAATTAAACAGGTTGGGTTTGACAATAAGAGGAAGTGAAGCAGGTCCAAAGCCTTGAGCACAACGGACATTATTTCAATTGGTAAATAAAAGTAGGTATAAAGTGGCATAAATGGCCGTTTGATCGACCTATGTATATCGCATTATGTTCATTTCAACTCACAAGTTGATTGATACACGATAATTCATAACGTTTTTAGTAACATTTTATAAGTTTAACAATGTTAATCATGTGATTGTACACATGAATTATCATGTCGTGCGACGTATTATCCTTATAGTAAAAAAAGGAAGAAAAAATATTTAAAAGTTGAGTAAATTGCAGTAATAATCTTTCAATTTTAATCAAATTGGAGCAATGATTATTCAACTAAAAATTCATTACCATTGGTCCCTCAACTTATCAAAATGTGTAGCTATAGTTTTTTCGTCAACTTCGATACAATTTTATCAAAATAAGTTATGTTGATAGGACCATTGCTATAATTGGGGTCCCTCAACTCATCAAAACGTGTAACTATGGTCATTTTCATTAACTTCGTCAGAATTTTGTCAAAACGAGTTATGTTGGAAGAACCGTTGCTACAATTGAGTTAAAGTTGAGGGATTATTGCTCCAATTGAGTTAAAGCTAAGAGACTATTTCTCCCGTTAGATTAAAGTTGAGGAACCAATGATAATGAATTTTTATTTGAGAAATCATAGCTGCACGTTTTGATGAGTTAAGAAACCGATGGTAATGAACTTTTAGTTAATAGACAATTACTTTAATTGAGTTAAAATTAAGATACCATTGTTACAATTTAGTCTTAAAAGTTTGTTCCTTGAGTTCGCAGCTCGTCATTCGTCTCCCGCCAAAACATGGACCCAACCACCTCACTCTCCAAAGCTTTGTTCAACAACACCAACAATCCCAAGCTCGCATGGCACCTCTTCAAGCGCATCATCTCCTCCCCCACCTCCTCCTCATCCTCCTCCGATCTCCCCCTCCGCTCCATCCCCGTCATTGCCCGTATCCTCATCGACTCCAAAATGCACCGCGAAATCGACAGCCTTCACCAGCTCCTCCTCCTCTCTCAACCCCTCGAAACCCTTCGCCCTTGCCTTGTTTCGCTCGTGCGGATCTTGGCCAAGTCGAATCTCCCCGATAAAGCCGTTGCCCATTTCAAATCCCTCCGCAGCCGCTTCCCTGATAAGCCCCCCTCTGTGTATTTGTATAATTTGCTTCTCGAGTCCTCTCTCAGGGAGAACAATGTAGATTTCGTCTTGTGGCTGTATAAGGATATGATCTTCTCCGGGATTAAGCCCGAAACTTATACTTTTAACCTTTTGATTTGGGCCTTGTGTGAATCGGATCGTTTGGATGATGCCCGCGAGATGTTTGATAAAATGCGTGACAAGGGTTGTCAACCGAATGAGTACAGTGTTGGGATTTTGGTTCGTGGGTATTGTCGAGCTGGGCTTGCTGGCAGAGGTTTGGAGGTTTTGGATGAGGTGAGGAGTTGTAATGTTTTGCCGAATAAGGTTGTGTATAATACTTTGATTTCTAGCTTCTGTAAACAAGGAAGGACTGATGAGGCCGAGAAGTTGGTAGAGAGGATGAGAGAGGATGGATTGTTTCCAGATGCCGTTACTTTCAATTCTAGGATTTCAGCTCTCTGCAGTGCAGGGAAAATCCTTGAAGCTTCTAGAATATTTAGAGATATGCGTGTAGATGATCAAGGGTTGGGGCTGCCTCAACCTAATGTTGTAACATATAATTTGATGTTGCAAGGATTTTGCAAGGAAGGGATGCTAGAGGAAGCAGAGGCATTGCTCAAATCTATGGAAAAGGCTGGTGATTTTATTAATTTAGAGAGTTATAACATATGGTTGTTGGGTCTGGTCAGGAAAGGAAAGCTCTTAGAGGCACGATTGGTTCTTCAAGAGATGGTAGATAAAGGAATAGAACCCAGTATTTACTCATACAACATTGTGATAAATGGGTTATGCAAAAGTGGGATGCTCCGTGATGCAAGAATGGTGATGAGTCTAATGGAAAGAAACAATATTTCCCCTGATACGGTGACCTACAGTACTTTACTTCATGGTTTCTGCAGTAAAGGTAAGGTATTTGAGGCCAACAATATCCTGCATGAGATGATGACGAATAACTGCTTCCCAAATACTCATACTTGCAACACTTTACTGCATAGCCTATGGAAGGAGGGAAGGACATCAGAAGCAGAGGAGCTTCTGAAAAAGATGAATGAGAGAGGTTATGGCTTAGATACTGTGACCTGCAATATTGTGATTGATGGTCTGTGCAACGATGGGAAATTGGACAAAGCAATTGAAATTGTAAGTGGGATGTGGAGTCATGGAAGTGCGGCTCTTGGAAACTTAGGGAACTCCTTTATTGGCCTGGTTGATGATAGTAATAATGGGAAGAAATGCAGCCCTGATTTGATCACGTATTCAACCATAATTGGTGGGTTATGCAAGGCTGGGAGGCTTGATGAAGCGAAGAAGAAGTTCATGGAGATGTTGGGGAAAAATTTGCCCCCTGATTCAGTGATTTATGATATGTTTATACGTAGTTTTTGTGAGCAAGGAAAGATATCATCTGCATTCCGGGTGTTGAAGGACATGGAGAAGAAAGGTTGCAACAAGAGCATTCAAACTTATAATTCACTAATCCTGGGATTAGGGAGTAAAAAGCAAATATTTGAAATATATGGACTGATGGATGAGATGAGAGAAAGAGGAGTCCCCCCTGATGTGCGCACTTATAATAATATGATGAAAAGTCTCTGTGAAGGAGAGAGAGTCAGAGATGCCACATCTCTTTTAGATGAAATGCTGCAGAAGGGTATATCCCCGAACATATCTACCTTCAGAATATTGATTGAAGCTTTCTGCAAGGGATGTGATTTTGGAGCTGCGCATGAGGTATTCGACATTGCTTTAAGTGTATGTGGCCACAAGGAAGCTTTGTATGGTTTGATGTTCAATCAGTTGCTCGCTGGAGGGGAAATATGGAATGCTAAAGAGCTATTTGAAGTTGCATTAGACAGGTATTTTTGTCTTGGAAATTTTAACTACAAAGATCTCATTGACAGACTTTGCAAGGATGAAAAGTTAGAGGATGCTAGCAGCATTCTTATCACGATGAAGAATAAAGGATATGGATTTGATCCAGCATCATTCCTGCCTGTAATTGATGGCTTAGGTAAAAGGGGAAATAAGCACGGGGCGGATGAACTTGCAGAGAGAATGATGGAAATGGAAACAGAGGGTAGGGTAACAGATAAGGTTTACCGAAATGAGAGGGAAACAAGTGGTCGAAAACCAAATAACACCTGCAGAAGTGATTGGCAGACCATAGTGCACAGGTATGGTTGATTAATAGTTATACATGATTCTTTTCTTCTTAACTTCCGTTTTGGATTAATCCCCTTCTGGAATTGCTTTGTGTGTATGCATGGGACATGTCAGTTTCTTTACTTATTTACTTTTGATTTGATATTTCCTTGGTAACTTACCTTTCTTCTTTTCAGAGATGATGGCAGTGGAATAGCATTGAAAACCCTCAAGCGGGTACAGAAAGGCTGGGGTCGAGAGAGTCTAATTAATTTGCAGCCCCACACAAATGAATTTATCGATTATTGAGAGGAAATGATTTCCCTAAAAAACTTGGAGTTGGTTGGCGACATAATGGAACCTTTCAAAAAAAGCCAAGAAAGAAATCGACCTTTAAGATCTCAGGTATAACTGGTTTTCTGCTATTGACTCTCCTTTTCTTCTTCTTCTTTTTTATTTTTTTTAATAAATTGCATACAAGGGACAGGTTTATATCAAAAAGATCCCAGAAGTAATTCCTGTTAAAATCGCAAGCAGGATTCGCAGAGTCAAAGTTTGCTGACTTTTAATGCTCGCTCAGCTCAATTGAATAACAGACTTTGACTGATTTTAGAAATCTTACAGCACACTTGTACCGAAATCCTTCCTAGGATATTGAATGGACTAACTATAAATCGATTAACATCCTGTCCATAAATTAGATTTCCCTTATTCATTGTGTACATTTAAGGCATATATGACTACGGTGTCGATGCTTCCTTAGTTTCCTTTGTATGAGCTGCTAAAATACACAAAAGAAAATGTTCATGGTATGTAAGATCTCATGCAGCTCACTTCATGTTAGACTGGTCGCTTGATTTCTTTTCAAGAGTTCTCTTTCACCACAAAACAGTTTCTGTAACATAGTTTTGCATTGTTTTTTACTAGAAATTAACTGACTAGGCGAATTCTTATCATCTTCTTGCAAAGATCCAACCTTTTGTGGTCTCTTGTTCTAACCTTTCAGCTACCTGCTATAGTTCCTTTATTTCTGTCACAAAAGCTCAGCCAATCTTTCTTTTTCAGGATTGTCTTCCTCATGTGCTTCGGGTCAACTTGATTCGGCTTCTGGTCCTATGTTTTGGTTGCATATCAATAGCATTGATCACATAGCAAAGTTGAAGGAAGCTAGAACCACAGTTTTTACCTCCAGACCAGCTGAGGATGCATGGGACAAGAAGTGTGATTCGTCATTCGTAGAGATACTGCTAAGTCGCAAACTTGCCTCTACTCGATTCTGAGACCTCCTTAAGCCCATTGAAAACGTCAGACTGGCATCTACTCCGTTATTACGTCTCCGTTGGCCCTTACATACTACTTGGTTTCGTATTTGATACTTTTTTACTACACCCATTCTTCCTGTTTTCCTTTAGTTCTTTGAACAGATCTGTATTTTTAGCAATGTATAGATATGAAATATTAGTGAAACACTTCAAAAATCAGAAGTATAATACAAAATCGCTCGCCTTTCAACTGTGTTGGGTCTATGGTTTTTCTAACCATGCTTTTTTTCCTCTCCCACACTCGTAAATTTCAATTTTTGCTAATAAATCCTTCTTTAACTTCCACCACATTGCATCGCACGTGCCATTTCCCTAGTGTCTGTTGACGAAAATCTAAATGAAAGGTGAATGACAAAGTGGATGCATCTCGGTTGTCAGATAAGACACGTGGTTAGGGAGTCTAACTAAATAATTTCCTCATCTATGACATGTTTACTTATTAAGAATTAGGAAAGTAGTAAAGAATTGGAATTATGAATAGGAAAAGTAAGAAATACTAACCATAACAACTCAGTCTCCAAGTTGATCCAATATTTTGGTTTGAGAAGTTGGAATATTGATTTTAAAGTGAGATTCACGTTTTTCTTTCATGTGTTTTTACAAACATGAAGTCAGAAATTGGAAAAATAATATATATATTTTTACTTCTGGTGCTCATGTGACAACCCGTCCCTAAATTTACGTTTTTATTTATTTTAATCAAGGGAATTGACGGAAATGCCCTATGGGTAAAATGTAATTTTTTGAGGACGTATTTGATCCTTGTATATTTTATCATGTTTCTTGACATATTTGGATGGAGTTCGACCTCACGAACGCGTAGGCGTAAACCATTTGTGAAATAGAGTTATAATGAAGGAGTTATTAATGAGTGAAGTGGAGGGCAAAATAGATAATTTACCATTTAATTGGAAGGCTCCAGAAAATCTGGAGTAATGGGATGAGCCATGTGTGTGGCTAAGATAGAGAAGGGAAGTGAGATGGATGGAGGAGATGAAGGAAGCAAGGAGAGAAAGGGGAAACATGGGATTCTTGACCCGTGCCCTTTTGACTCTACCCGATCGGCTCCTTACTCTTCAGACGGCTTTCCACCCATTTTTCCGGCGAATTACATCAAACCATCACTTGGATACCCTCCATGATCTTCCCGCTTCCTATTACACCCCAAAATCAAGGGATTTGGCCTTGAAATTAGGAGAACTCGCACGGTGGGTTGCGGCAGCTGTATGTTCGAATCACCTAAATTTGAAGCTAACTACATGCATCTCCACCACCATTAGGCTTCCCTTGAGGCCTGTAACAAAGCCTAAACAACTATAGGGACGACGGAGCGCCGGAAGTGACCGATCGAAGCCACCTATTCTTAGGGTTCCGGCGGGTTCGAGATGAATTGGAGCCTTTTCTAGCCAAATTAGACTTCGCAACAGGTATAAAACTTGCTCTACTCATTGAGATCTTCATTCTTGTAAATTTTGGAAATAGTTGGATTTTTCGGTGAGTCGGGGTGGCCGATCGCCACTTGCGGCAGCGTGTGGGCCGAGGCGTCCTTTGACCTTCCTATGTTAAATTTGATACTCCAATTCCATATGTGAAGTCTAATTGATGAAATTCTGTAATTTGAACTTAGTTCCATTAAGGTCCGTCACTTAAATAGTATAGCAATTGACGATCCGACCATTAGATTGTCACTAAACTTTAATACATTATAGATGTAATATTTGAGGACCATAGGAACTTACGGATCAGGAATCTTACGTACGGATATTCCCGAATTGGATTTGTAAGTTCGTAAAATAAAACGTCGGCCATCACTTAATTTTGGCAATTGGCGGAGATTCGACCGTCAGATCGTGGTAAGATTTTAATATGTTATTCTAAAAGCATAATGTGGATATTTGGAAGTTACGGGTTGGAAATCCGAGATGCGGATCTTTTGGATCGAGTTATGTAGGGTTATGGACCCTACCGTTAACCTTTGACCGACGGTTGACTTTTGGTCAATGGGTTACAAAACATTCTAGAATGTCCTTGGGGATATGTTTTATGTAAGTTACGTGTTCTATCAATAAGAATTTTGAGACGTGATTTGATAATTGTTCTAGGAGCCGATCATTCGTGACGCCTAGATATTCGTGCTAGGAGTTGTAGCGCGGACTCCAGGTGAGTGGATCTTTTCCTTTGTATGTGTGTGTGTGTGTGTGTGTGTGTGTGTATACATATATACATACACATATATATATATATATATATATATATGAATGATAGTTTCCACAAATGCTCTTGAATTGATTCATGCATTTTATGCCATGTCTAAAATGTGTGATACTTTAAATGTTGCATTAGTATGAATTATATTTATATTGAATATGCTGCGGAGGCTCAGGTAACCTTCAGGTGAGTATTATGTGATTGAATTTGGTTGCATCATATTGGTGTGCATAAATGCATTTAGAGCTCATCATTGCTGCACCTCGGTGTTAATGCTTCTGCCAGAGGCCAGGGCACAATCCTTCACGTGATGTTCACCTCCCGCACTGCACGCTCACCTTGGATCCAAGTTTGGTGCCAGGCTTATCGTACAGACCACAATAGGTGGTTCCGACTCGTAGGTGACCTACAATTATTTGCATAGCCTTCACGTGATCGTAGCACTTGAGCGTACATATTTACACCCAGCCCTGTCGTACAGACCACAATAGGTGGTTCCAACTCATGTGCTAGCATATATTGATGAGCTATAGGTCCAGTCGTACATGTCACATTAGGTGACTCCGACTGGCATGTTATTTTATATTGATTTCACTTGACTTACATCTTTTAGTGCGGAAACGTTATGGCATGGCATACTTCAGTTTTTACTGGCCTTGTGCATTGGATTTCGTATGTATATGTGTCATATTATTTTTTGGAAATTATACGGGTTTTACAGTGAGAGGTTATAACATTTTCAAAAGGTTTTTATTAAAACTTTATTTTCAGGCCCACTCACACTTGTTTTTGCACCCTCTAGGTTTTAGCTACTAAACGTTTGCATCGACAAGGATTCTTGGTGAATCTCAGTATGAGTGGCTACCTTTGAGGGTATGATCCTTACCCACTCCACTGTACTTTACTTATGCTCTGACATCACTTGTGAAAGCACTCTTTTATTTAAGCACTTTTAGGTTTAAATTTATTCTCATTTTCCACATCACTACACTTTATGAATTCATGGACTAATCTGTTAATTTGCCAGCACAACTTGATTCGAAGTCCTAGTGGACATCCCAGATCAAGGTGTGTCAGCCCATTTCTAATAGCTAAACATTGTAGCTAGGAAAATTAGGAAACAAAGCCAAAATCCCAACCAAAAACTAAAAAAAAAAATGGCAACAAAAACAGTATATAAGATCTTAATACCTTCATGCACACGCAATGTGGGGATAGTGGGATACCTTCATGCACACGCAATGTGGAAGAAAATAAAACAAATTAAAAATTTTAATTAAAAAAAAAAGATAGTGTGGAATAGTGGGGTTTGAACTGTACGGATAGGAACCACAATAACTGACTATAACTGCCAATTAGAGATGAGTCCAAAGTAACCGCCCTTTGTTGCCCTACAAAATCTGAACCCACTCCAACTGTTGAACTTTTTTCCTCTTCTCCTATTTTCTTGTCTCTTCTTCCACCAAATCCACCCATCACAACAAGAACAAAACATTCCTCAATGAACAACACTCCCGACCTTGATTTCCGATTTCCCATATCTCCACCAACCCACCAGGACGCCGTCGTTCCCGCCGGCCCCGCCACTGCGTACGCCGCTTCTTCTTCTTTCACTTGTTTCACTGCAAACGATAGAACCCACCAAAATCCCAGGAAGAAACGCTCCAAGCTGATCAGGCTCGACAACCCGACTGCTCTGAACAAGGTTTCGAGGCCAAAGTATGCAAAAAAGCCCGACCCGTCTGCCCCGAAGATCACGAAACCCTGCACTGAGTGCGGCAAGACGTTCTGGTCATGGAAGGCTTTGTTCGGGCACATGCGGTGCCACCCTGAACGCCAGTGGCGGGGCATTGAACCGCCACCGAATCTGCGGCGGCCTGCGTTGTCCAAGATACCGCTGAGCGAGTTGGGATTGGCAATGGGTGAAGAGGACCACGAGGCGGCCTCGAGTTTGCTAATGCTTTCCACTGGGATTACTTCTGGGACAAGTAATGAGATCATCATTAGTACTGCCGCTACTCAGAGTGTGAGTAATACTAGTAATCTCCAAGGTGCACTAGAGGTGTTTGATGGGTGTAATAGTAACAACAGTGGTAGGTTTGAGTGCTCGAGTTGTAAGAAAGTGTTTGGATCCCACCAGGCGTTAGGGGGCCACAGGGCAAGCCACAAGAATGTGAAGGGCTGTTTTGCAATTACGAGAAGCGATGGGGAGGTTGATCAGGATCATCATCACCATAATGGAGATGGTGGTGATGATGATGGTGATGGTGATGAGGATGTGATGGATGAGGATCACATGGACTTGGGATCATCATTAGGGCACAAGTGCAGTGTTTGCTGGAGGGTCTTTTCAAGTGGGCAGGCATTGGGAGGGCACATGAGGTGTCACTGGGACAATGGGGATGAGACGCAATTAGGGTTAGGGTTCGAGCTAGGGTTCGGGTTCAACCTGCAGCATCCGTGTGAAACTTCAAAAGGATTATTATTAGGTCAAAATTCTGGTGGGGGTGCGGGGTTGGACTTGAATTTGTCTGCTGCTGCTGCTTCTGCTTCTCTCACTACTGAAGACGATCATCAGCACTACTCTTCTTCTGGACTCACTTTGGATTTAAGGTTGGGTCTTTGAAGGAATCTGAATTACCGAATATATATATATATATATATATATATATATAATAGTGTGTGTATTCTGGAACTTAAATAGGTGATTGGTATATTTTGTAACAATTGATATTTGACATGGAAATATATGTGTATTTAGTTAAAATACTTGTTATTGGCTCCTCAATTGGGAGATTATATATAAATATATCGTGTATTAGACAAATTTCTCATTACAATTAAATTTCTTAGCTAAGAAATTACAAATTAGCTGAGTTGGGTTTGTTAGATGTTTGTCTTAATGCATGTAGCACATTAATTTGTTGTTCATCTGCCAACGTATGAACTCAAGTTGCACCTTCTTGCTAGTTTGGTTTGGTATTTGTTTAGTCTCTGGGATTGAGTTACAAGCCATTAGCCAAAATATGGCGTGAGCGGCGACCGGCCCGATCGATTTGTAGCTACAAGCTGTGTCATATTATACAGGAAAATCGAGTCTGAAAAACCAGAAATTCAGACGTTAGGGTTATTGAATCAATTCTTCTGTTCCCATTCCAATAGCTAAGTTGGTTTGGAAGCAATTGTTAAATTGCTTTCTTTTGGTTAGGTCTTCTTTGGACACTGGAATACGCAGGCAAATTAACAGATTAGTCCATGAATTTAAAGTAATGAATCCAGATTAGGGTATTTAGCCCAAATATGCAAGCACGTTCCGTAAAAATATTATTAGATCAACTAAGGGAAATAACCTATCTGATTTTCGTTCCTTATTTTCTTTATAAATTTAACATTTTTTTCACTTCAGCAATTACCAAGTTTTCATTTTTTATTTTCCCCATTTCTGATAAGTAAACTCGTTAAATGAAATATATTTTGAGTTGGTTACCTAATCATGTATCCTCTTCGATAACTCAGATGTTGCCAAATTGTCATGTACTTTCGACAATGGGAATTCTACCTAGAGTGGCATTAGCTAACAAACATACCTTTAGTATTGGAATCAAAGCATCAAATATGATTAGTGTCTTATATAGCATGTATCAATAACATGAACGGCATGACGAAATCTCAACCCAAGATTTCATTACGCAAATGTTTACTTTCTCTTTACAAGAAAGGCGGACTTCAAATTAATTAAATAAAAAGGAGACTTCTAAGGATGCATTGCAACACAAATTCGATTTTTTTTTTAAATTGTTTTTTAAACCATTTCTACTTAAAAACCAGTCGCTATGCTTTTCCCACATTAATTTGTTACGGATCATACAATTGGGCCAAACGTTCACATAAACCTTGGATTTAACGAAATTTTTTTGAATCGAATGATAACCGTAACAAACGTCAAACGTCAACTCAATCCGAAGAAAATTATGCAGAAGCTTTACAAAATTATTATGAAGCTATGCGATTAGAAATTGATCCTTATGATCGAAGTGAACCACCACATTTTGAGCCCAATGAACATAAGAGGACAAGCAAGTGTAAAATTAGAAGCTGCAGGAACAAATAAAGCATCGGGAATGCAGTTGACAAATTTACCTTTTAATTTTATTTTTCAACACTTTCAGCAGCTTTGGCTACTGCTGACGCAAAAATACTGCACATATTGATATGGCAACCCAAATTTTACAGACAACTTGCAGTGAATACCAGGAGGAGACCCAACTGCAGAAAAGGTAGGAACCGGTGGAAAATAAACTAGTATGCACACTTTTATCCAGCTGCAATTTACTGATTAGCACAATTTGCTCCTTCTTGGTTTCATTTCACTTCTTGGATTGGTCTTCCTGAGTTGAGGGCACATTAAAGTGCTTCACAGATTTCCCGAGAACATTGAAACGCCCAACACGTTGCAACTCTTTTGCTGCAATAATGGGAGATGCAAAAGGGAATGTAAGAGGCACAGGTTTTCTATTTTTCCAGATATGGACGGTGGAAATATAATAGGAACAATTAACAGAAAGCTTGAAAAGTTTATATGTAGCCACTATCCGGCTACAACAGTTATGGCGACCGGAAAACGCATGATTACCAGATAATTATAGAAGATTAAAAGAACTTGGGCTCTTTCAACTCTGACCCAACATCAAATGGATCACAGAGTTTTAAATGGGGAATAATTTTGTTCACCACTCTCAAGTGATGGTGATGCTCACCATTGGATAAGTTTAAATTTCAATATCTGTGTAGTGGATAGACAAATCTCCAGATTTAAACTCATCCGATGGTAATAAGGGGTAGTGAGCATTACCACCATTTGAGGGTGGTGAGCAAAAAGGCACTCTTTTAAATGAGAAAGTAATGAATGATTTTGAAAAAGATAGAAGCCACGTATTTGGACGACAATGCTTACATTGAAGCAGGTCAAGATTTCTTAACATATATTATGGGTAACTTCCCCAAGACCAAGATAATTATATTTGTAACAAGACAATAAAACAAGAATTTCCATTATTGAATTCCAATTAAGGGATATTTTCTTAGCAAATTTTTAACTATAACAGATCTCTGAAAAAAAAAAAAAAAAAAAAAATGGAATCATAATACCTTCCTCCAGTGAAAGCTGAATTGATCTCTTTTCCAACTCAACTGCAAGTCTGCTCAGTTCAACAGAGGACAGCGACCGTAGCACTAGCATAAAATCAAAATCCAAAGGGGAAGTCAGTACAGTTATAATCTAAGGAAATTCAATCAAAACATATTAAGGTGGATTTTCTCAATTCAAGAGCGTACTCTGGAGATAATCCTCATGCTCTGATTGGTCCAATTTCCTCAACAGCAACTGCAATTGATGGAATCGCTCTTCCCAGTGCAGATTTTTTAGACCCTTTGGCAATGTAGCAGAAGTATGGGGATGGCCATTGGCTCCTGCTGGTGGTAGTCCAGTACCAGACTTACAAAGCGGGACCGGAACTGAAGGTTTTCCAGGCAGAATGGTTGAAGCTGCCACTGGAAAAGATGCAAAAGCTGGCACACAAAAAACTTTTGTTTCCTTTGCTTGGGATATGGGTCGGGTGCTTGCCTCGTGGTGACTAAGTTTCCTTGACACCTGACACTCGGCATTAATGGTTGCTTTATCACATGTGTTATTTCTGACTGCGTCTGCTTCTGATTTTCTACGAACATAGACAAGCTGTGCATTTGCAGCACTGCTACCGTGGGATTGGTGTTGAGGAGGGCTCATCTTCCGCTCAGGTAAAGGTCTCTTGGTGCTCGAAACTCTAGGGACATAACTAGTGTGTCCTATATCCTTGGGCACATTTTGCAGATCTCTTAACACGGTCTTCTTTACAGGAGCTGGTAGTTGTTTATCATGAAGAGGAGATTCAGATTCAGTAGTTCCCATCCCATATTACTGACTACAGAACCTATGGTTGGCTGAACCATCTAAAGTAAGAGACCTTGTGATGAAAAGCCAGTCAAAATTAGAAACAAAAGAGTAATTCGATGATTAACGAAAGCAAACTTACAATGGTAAACTAAAGCAGACAAGCTTATTTTACATAAGATCTCCAGAGCACGACAAACAAAGCATGTTCTTGATCAGAAATTCTCTCCTACAGACCACAGTGGTGCGCACAAGAGACTACATCGTTCTTGATATAGGTTTCAAAGTAGTACACACAGTTAAAACCGTCAGAAGAGTTCATCTAACACAATATCAAAGTAATATCTTACAAGAGGTAGTTTGACCAAGTATTCATCCTCTGTAATTATCTACACAAGAGTAGAAACCTACCATATCTAATACAAGAAGGTGCTAATAAGTGCATTACTGCATTATAAATAAAGAAATAAGTGAAATTGGCAAACAAATTAAATGTTGTATGCTCAACATTTTCTCTCGTTCTTTCTTGGCGGGAAAAACTCAAGTTCGGTATTATGACCTAAATTGCATTACAAGTTTCATTTAAACTTACTTAGAAGAGCCAAACTCAAGTCTCACAAAAACACCAATTTTGCTTCCAAATACCTAACAATGCATACTTTTATCACACCAAAAGCAGCTTAAAGGCTAATGAATGATCAAAATAACTTACTCTATGGATACATTTCGATTCCTCTATTTAGCTCTATAAACTCTGAGACAAATAGCATCAAAGAAATCAACCTTATCCAAATCAGCAAAAACATTAAATGTCGTATACCGAACATTTTATCTTTCTTGGCGGGAAAAACGCAAGTTCGGTATTATGACCTAAAAATGCATTCCTTTAAACTTTAAAGAAGACCCAAACTCAAGTATCACAAAAACGCCAACTTAGCTTCCAAATACCAAACGCTGCATTCCTTTTTCACACAAAAAGCAGCTTAAAGGCTAATCAATGATCAAATAACTTGCTTTCACACGTTTAGATACCACTTCCTAATTCCGGAAACTTAAAGACAAATATGCGTCAAGGAAAATTACCATTATCCAAATCACTGCATTTCCGCATGAATTTATCAGTTTCGAGACATGGGTTCTACTAAAATCGAAAATTTAGCAACACCCATCTGATCAATTTCACTTTAAAATCAAACTCCGCACCAAAAGATCAACATGCAATTGAGAATTTGTTCATGTTCTACCATTACATAACGCCTAATCAGACCGTTGAAAATGAAAATGCATATATACGCAAAAACAAGAAGAAAAATACCAGAACAGCTAATGATTCGAAGAAGAAAACGAAGATCTTGATCGAGAAAAAGCAATGGAAGGTGAAGGGGAAGAGCATTTACCTTAACCGCTTGAAACTATGGGTTTCAAAAGCCAGAAACTATGGCTCTCTAACTAGTAACTACGCAAGGCATTTTGCATTTTGGTCCTTAGAGTCTTTTGATATTATATTTTTACCCCAGAAGGACTTGATTAAATTATCATTCTTTTCCTGTAGCCTGTTGGGCCTGAACTGTTGCTTTGGTTATATATTCTTGGACGTGGTTCCTTTTCTTTTTTTAATTTACCATTATTAGAGGAAGGGATCGAGAGTTTGAAATTTTTACAATAATATAGGGAATGAGGAGTTTCGAACTCAAGAGCAGGGGTAGAAACTCAATACTCTATCCACTAAAATACTAAACCACATGCACTTGTTCCCTGACTCTATTGTGATTTATTCAATTCAAAAACTAAAAATTAACAAGGGTGTTTAAAGTGAGAAAAAGTGGGTGCAAAGTGGGTTTAGAAAGAAAAAGAAGAAAACGAAAAAGAAACCCCGCCAACATCACCTACGACATCCACCCCTACCTCTCTAAACCCAAAGACATCCAATGTTCTTCACCTCCTCACCAACCACCCAACCACGCCATTTGCACCTCCCATACCGCCCACAATCAAAGACCCAAATCTCATCCCACCATAATAAAGATGCAGTACTCCAAGTACCATAATAATAAATCAATTAAGAGGTATCATCTAGTTAAGCCAATTTGTTCAATCCCAACCAATCATTAAAAATGAGTTCAATGAGTATGTGTGCATAATCCTAGTTATTCCTTCTTCCTTTTCAGAAAAATTCAACCATTTTGTGATAAACCAATTTAAGGTTGAAACTCAATGAGTTTAAACCATTCAATAGGAATGCCAAATGATTTCGGTGATCGGCGGTTAGAGAGAGAGAGAGGGTGTCTTCATGGAGGAGCGGGAATCAGAGAATCGAAGGTATTTTCACCAATGGGATGTCATTGGTTTTTTTATTTTTTTTAAAAGCCTTGTAGTATATGGGGAAAACAAAGGTTTCTAACAAAAAAAATTTTATATGTTGGTTTAGAAAGAAAAATATTGGGTCCGAATAAAATTTTCCTAAAAAATGAAGCTTGATTCCGTCATTGAATAAAATATCAACATATAGCGGAAATACAAGTTCATGATCACTGTCAATGTCTAAAAGAGAAGTACTAACTTAGTGGTTTAGTTGTGGTCCATCGTCTCTAACTGTTACGGACAAAAACCTTACGGGAGTGACCGTTGCACTGAATTATTTTGGACTGGACTAGTTTCAGAGACTAAGTAAGACTGGCTTAGAATAGACGAAGCCGGATTAACTTAGTGAAATGTTTGATACAATGTCAGACTAAGAAGTAGGATAGGTAACAAACTCTAGTATTATATTTTTATTATTAATCCGCTCTTTTCTCACTTCTTCGTCCCACTCTCTCCTTCTTTTTCTCCCTTCTTCCCCATATCAAACCTCACTGAACTGGACTCCTCCAAAATTTTCCTGTAAACTCCCTCTTGATTCCTCTCTATATCTCCCTCTTTCCTTCCTCTCTCTCCTAGCTATGCGCTATTCGAACAGAACCCTCAAGGCCAAACCTCTTTTCCCTAAGCGTTTTTCGGCCTCACTGACCTTTTTTTTTCAAGCAAAGTACAAAGACCAAATATACAAGAAGGCCCAATTACAAGATAAACACAAATAAAAAAAGGGACCCCAAACCAATGCCCAAAACAACAGTTTTGAGCCCAAAAACAGACAAACCAAAAAGAAAACTCTACATTCCTGCAACCACAGCCGCCACCGCCGCGCAGCCAAGAAACCGCCATAGACCAAAATTTCCAACCTGACGCCATTGATCCAGCCAACCAAATCCGCAAGAGTGAAGGAGCAGGCGACTCCAACAACATCCAAAGACCACCATGAAGAGCGGGACAACAACTAAAAACTGAAGAAAACTAGTGAGAAATTGTAGACATCGAAATTTCGGTGAAACAAATGTTCACCAATGCATTAAAGTTTTGACGTGTCAAGGCATACATGGCATACGCCACGTGTTGTACAAATTGTACACATGACGTGTGACTCAACAAAATAGGAAGAAATACCCTTGAAGGATTAAACAAGTTTTTCTTCTCATTTTTGGGCAATGACAAGGCAAGCACATTTCAATCCATTGAGGATCAAAACAAGTTTTTCTTCTCATGTTGGGCAATGACAAGGCAAGCACACTTCAATCCATTACGGATCAAAGCAAGTTTTTCTCATTTGGGCAATGACAAGGCAAGTACATTTCAATCCATTGAGGATCAAAACAAGTTTTTCTTCTCATGTTGGGCAATGACAAGGCAAGCACACTTCAATCCATTACGGATCAAAGCAAGTTTTTCTCATTTGGGCAATGACAAAGCATACACATTTCAAGTTTAAAATGGTGTTAAGTGGGAAATTAGGCCATAAGTTACACCACTTCAAGTTTAAAATGGTATTAAGTGGGAAATTAGGCCATAAGTTACACCACTTCAATTTCAATATAGCATTAAGTGGGAAAATTAGGCAATGGTGCTTGGAAAGGAAAAAAATATTTTTGTGGTGGTGATTCATTCTCAAAGCCTATAAATAGGTTTCTCTATCAAGGTATCAAGCATCAACCAATTCACAAATACATTTCTCTACTCCCAAAATGGAAGAGAATACTCCCCACACATCCAAAATCCTTGAAGCTTTGAAACTCTAAAGCTCTCAAGCATCCAACCCCCAAATTCCCAAGAATCCCGAAGAATGGAGAAAGCACTCTTCATTCTTCGTCAAATCCTCCTTCAAGATCAAGCCCCGACGGCCCTTGAAGAAAGTGTTCATCGTTCATCCTAAGATCAAGCCCCAACGGCCCTGCGGATCAACAGCACAAACAAATCCACACATCTATTCTTCAAGATCAAGCCCACAAAAGCCCTTGAAGATCCTTGAAGATCCATTCATCAACATTTCATCCTTAGATCAAGCCCCGACGGCCCTTTGGATCAACAACTCATCCACAACACACCAAAACCTTGAAGCCTTAAAGTTCTAAAGCTCTCAAGAAAATCCCGAAGGATGAAGAAAGCACTCTTCGTTCTTCGTCAAATCCTCCTTCAAGATCAAGCCCCAATGGCCCTTGAAGAACTCCCACCAACTCAAGATCAAGCCCCGACGGCCCTTGAAGAAAGTGTTCATCGTTCATCATCCGCTCATCCATCAACCTTCAAGATCAAGCCCCAAAGGCCCTTGAAGAAACTTCCATCAACCTTCAAGATCAAGTCCCGACGGCCCTTGAAGAAGTCCACATAACCATTATTCAAGATCAAGCCCAAAAGCCCTTGAAGAAAACCAACTGTTCATTCAAGATCAAGCCTCGACGGCCCTTGAAGAAAACCAACCGTTCTTCAAGATCAAGCCCAAAAGCCTTTGAAGATCCGCTCATCCATCAACATTCAAGATCAAGCCCCGAAGGCCCTTGAAGAAACTTCCATCAACCTTCAAGATCAAAGCCACGAAGGCCCTTGAAGAAACTTACAATTGTTCATCCAAGATCAAGCCTCGACGGCCCTTGGATCAACAAATCTACATCTTACGGAGATAGAATCAGAGGATCAAATTACAAAGAGATCGTAACCCCAAAATCAAACCAAAAAAAAATATTATTTTGTACACGTATTCTTGACTCTTGTTTTCAGGAATTTTTCGTGTTCACAAATTTGGCACGCTCGGTGGGACATCTTTACCTCTCATCTCTATCCTCAAAACATCGAAAAACGCAAATGGCATCAAGAAAGGATCAAGCTGTTCCTGCAATCAAAGCAAAGAACAAGAACATCATCGCCGCAAGTGGTGATATTTCGGGCACCATAACCCGAAGTAAGGCAAGAGCTCTTTTTGCCGCGGCTTCCGCCCCTGCATTAACTCTGTCAAAGGAACAAGAGCACTTGAGGCACGAGCCTGTGATCACCCTAGCCTCGCTAAGGGCATCAAGAGGGGAAAGCCTGAGGAAATACTCAGAGTCCCTACTCTCCGACGCTGATTCGAGCGGCAGTACAACCATGCAAGTCATGACCACTGGAGTAACTTCAATCGAGGAGCAGCTAGCTCAGATGAATGAAGCAATCGCAAAGCTCACACGGACTGCAGAGGAGAAAAACTTGCAAACCGCCGGACTCATCAACCGTCTGGAGGCACAGCATGGCGTCAAAATGAAACCAAGCTCTCTTCCAACTAAGAAGATCGAAGAAGGCTTTAACCCAAATGCCTACGAACTCATGTCAAAGGCTAGGCATGACTTTGCTTCCTCTTCAAATCTTGGAAAGAAGGTTTCAAACACCGTCAATGACAAAGAACGTAACCTCACCAAAACTCAAAAGAAGTTGAAGGAGCATGGTTACGGAGTTGACAACAACAAAGCCAGACTTGGCTTCACACCAAATGCACCCGTGAAGATTTCAAGCAAAGTGAAGAAAGCTAGCGCTCAACACATCAGCGTGAGCATTGAACAAAATCAAGAGGAGCCTAAACCTCTTATTCGAGTGTCAGTCCTCGATAGGTTGAATCATTCAAAACCTAGAATTTCAGCACTTAATCGCATTGGTAGTCAAGACCGAACCTCTGTCTTCAAGAGGCTTAGCGCGCCAACATCCCAAAGCTCTGTTTTTGAAAGGTTGTTAAAGCCTAAG